TTGATTTCACTTCAAAGCTTAATTCTTCTGGAGTTAATGAAGACAATTCAGCGGAATAGATTTTTGTGAAGTCCTGTTACGTCTTTTCATCTTTACTATTTGGACTTGGACGCACATATGTCTTCCAATAATGCTCGATAACTTAATCCATTCCCTGCTTAGCGTGCATAAATTGTATGATTGGCAATTGCAATTGACCACTAGACTGCTGTTTAAGTCCCCATCATTGCCATGGAATTTTTACTTTATCACATAATGAAATCGAAGCTACAACTTATCCTAAACATTAGAGCTCTTGAAAAATGCGTTGAATTCTACACTTTGAGCTCAATCAATGGAACCTTAAGCATATTTAGAGTGACAGTTGTTCAAAGGGGAATTTTGATTATTATTAGAGAAAACTGACTTCAGGAGCCGCTTCTTACTTACAATCATATCGCTCCAGATCTTTCCAGTTTCGGCCAGTTTGCGGGTAGCGGCCCAACCTTGGTTAACCTTATCCCACTGCCGAGCTACATTTATTTCGTCCTGTTTCGTATCATATTGATTAATTTCGTTGTGGGTAGGACTACGACTGGCCCAGGCCGGCATACCAAGGCAACTGCCCAATCCATTCGATGCGCTCTTAGCTTTTTGCTTGTTGCCAGTTGACTTAACTAAAGAGTGTCCTCCAAGTTCCCGTGATTTATTTATCAGCGGTGGAGGTACGCCAACCTAATAGTGCATCTTCAGCCAGTGAATCAACATTTAATTGTTGAGCCAATTTAAGATTTGGATTTTAGCAGTTTAAAATTATTTAGCAATTCAGAGCTGGGTCAAAGATAGATTGGCCGGGGTTTGTGCACTTCGCAAGTGGAGTCCACAAGTGGGTTTATAAGGAAGCTCCAGATTAAAAATGTTCTGTAACGAATCTGCTTGAAGTAATGCTCAAATTACGTCGAACAATCAAGTAAGCGCTATTTTAACTGCGTATTTCGTTTGATAGTGTGACACTTAGAAAAGTTAAGCGTATCGACGTCTAGATGGCATCAGTGGTCATAACAGGAACTAGCGATATGGAAACCGGGCGGTCAAACCCGGGTCAATCGTATAGCCAACAGTCGTTAGGCGTAATGGTCTTGCGATCGCGCTGAGCCCGAGATATACACTTACAAATGTTACCTGATCTAATCGAAGGCCAAAATGGCGCGGGCCGCCGTTATCTAAAGGTTGCTTGACCTTGTTTTCACAACTTGGTTATACTGGCAGGAAAGCCAGGAGAAACGCATCTTGCGAAGTATGCATAATAATCTCCAAAATCAGACCCTAGTGCATTCTTGGACGTTTTGTTAGCCTTATCATTCTTAAAGTCACCACGACTGGCCAGGGAGACAAGTGAAGTCGATCCTTTGACTGATTGTCTGCCAAACAGCTGTGGCATGTTTCCTATCCTAGTATATCCGTCTGCCCATGTCCTCGCGTCGCTCCATTGATATGACAATCTCCTACTTGTTTAGATAAACTTAATCAGGGCCTATTCGCTGCCCTCTACTGCCGGATATATTGTTCCGAACCCGCCCTTGTATTACACAATCCTCTTATCCCAGACCCTATCTACCTGTCTCAGTGCCTCTGCCGCCATATCCGTGTTGCTTAAGGCGTGATGTACACTGTCCCGAGTCTACGAACATAGCAGGCTGATAGTGAGCCCCTGAAATGGAGGCCTAATCTGACGCTACAGATCTCTTTATCAATGTTTGGCATGTTCACCGAGTAAATCTCGTGGTCAATCCTTTCCTTATCTTTCGAATTAAGTATTGTTTTCGTGACTACCAGTAAATCAGTAATATGATATGTATTCACCCAATTTCGTTTAAGGTGATGAAGGACTAGTAGAAGAAGAAATTTTCCACAATGATATGAGTTAAGCTGGGGTTTTCATTAAATTTCGCATAGCCTTGTTTTCCCAATAGTTATTCTCATCCAGGCACCAGTGGGCTGCAGTAACGACATCGCATCGGTCTTATCGCCACCGGGAGTCGAACCGCGACAGTGCAGGATGGGAGCTTGACACGCTAGCCACTCGGCTACACTGCCACAAGCGCCTTTTGGGTCACAGGGTTAATGTGAATTTTCAATGAAGGCCAGGCCTTTTTGCCATATCATATTCTTTTGGTGGAATTGTAGATGAAGCAAACGTATATCTGCTATGACAATAGACTACAATACTTTAACCGAAAGTATGAAGACCAAGAAGGGACAAGTCCCTTTGACGAGTTGTAGTATGGTGCTACGAATGGCGAGACTCATTGACGATGCCGGCGAAACTTCTGAAATGTACCACGTCCACGGTCCTACTATGGAAATGATGATACATACAATAAACTCTGTTCTAGGTGTGTTCCTCTAAGTCTTCCTACCAATATGACCGAGTTGCGAAAACAAGGTCAAACAATTTCTATACAATACTTTATTTTTCGAATTAAGTATTGTTTTCGTGACTACCGTGACTAGTACCAGTCCTTCATCACCTTAAACGAAATTAGGTGAATACATCTCATATTCCTGATTTAATGGTGGTCACGAAAATAATACTTAATTCGAAAAATAAGGTATTGTAGTCTGTTTTTACAGCAAATATACTTTTGCTTCGACAAGTTCACCAAAATAATATGATATGCCAAAAAGGCCTGGCCTTCATTGACAATTCACATTTGCCCTGCGACCCAAAAGGCGCTCGTGGCAGTGTAGCAGGGTGGATAGCGTGCCAAGTTCCCATCCTGCATGGTCGCGGTTCGACTCCCGTTAAGGGTGTTGAAAAGACCGATGCGAGGTCGAAACTGCAGTCTACACTGGATGAGAACAACTTTTGGGAAAGCAAGGCTATGTGAAATTCAATGGAAACGTCAGCTCAACTCACATTGTGGGAAAATTCTTCTTCTACCAGTCCTTCATCACCTTAAAAGAAATTGTGTAAATACATCTCAAATCCTTTCCTTCATGAACCAATCATATGATCAAACTTAGTTATTGATAGACAACCATCTATACGAGCGCACGGATAATGGTTAAACAAAAGGTTACTATAATTATTGATTTTTCTCCCGCCGCTGCTAAACTGGCACGGACATTGGAAAGCCTAAATAATTCGAAGATATGAATAATATAAAAGCCTGAGATGCCAAGTCTAATGGATTAAACGTAAAAAGAAACAACTGATCGACGACCATTTTAGTTTACACAATACAGTGCAATACTGACGCACTAGCGGACTGAGAGGTGTATCTTAAAGTCGATAGGCTTTTTTAATATTATATCCCACTATATTATCAAAATTACATCCTAATCAATATTTAGGGAATTCTTCACTTAAAAGTGCGCGGCGGTGCACTTCGATTCAAATGACCATGACTCAGTATATGATCATCTGTGAGCGGATAAAACGGATATTACGCACAAAGCTTAGTTGGTAACAAGTTAAGAGGGTGCAGAGTAAAATTAAAGCAACAGGCATGTAATAATTGGTAAATGTACTTTGAAAAGGATGAACGATTAAAGCCAGTTTAAACACATGAGTGTCCTAAGGTCGGTACACTAGCCTGAATATGAGCAGAGCAGAGTTTGCAGAAAGATGACTCAAGAGAAAATTAGCTTAAGATAAACAGGAATAGTCTGGGGTAAGATTCAAAAACCAGGAATTAGTTAAAATAATTTAATGTGCAATGGATATCTAGAACAAAATCCTCTAATATATCTTACTCAGTGAGAACATGACTCAAGAAATCAGTTAATAGAGAAAGGTAGCTCGTTGTTCTCCCTTTGCTCCTCCCATGCCTCAATCTATTGACATGAGAAAAAAAGCAGCTTACGATATTAAAAGGGCAAGAATCCTTGTAAACCATTTTAAAAAAGTTGCAGGGCTTGTGCTTTTGACCATAATTTTTCACGCACCTGTGATAATCTATATAATACTGTCGACATTTCCTGACAGCGTTAAGAATATTAAAATACGTACGGCATAGTGTTAGTGTTCGGAAAGCGTAGATCAACTACATTTCGTGCGAAGCTATAGTCGCCCTGAAAAAATAAAAAGGACAAAATGTGATTACCGTTTCCCGGGCCTTCTTGCATTTATCGATAAAATCAGCATCTACCGTCATAGTAGAAGATAAGATAGCCGGTCAAACTTACTTAAACACGATAATCAAAAATAAAATACAATTTCAGAAAACAATAAAAAATTTTCAGATAAACATTTCGCCTTAGGTTAAAGGGAAATTATTGAGCGCTCCAATTAAAAATATGCTTATAGTTGCCTTTCGTTTCCCCTCCTTCCTTGCTGCCTCCCAGTGGTCGAGGCATTTATCCAATCAGAATTC